CATGAAGAAGTCTATTGCAGAATTTGTAGCCCAGTGTCCTAATTGTCAACAAGTAAAGATCGAGCATCAGAAACCCAGTGGATTGATTCAGAATATAGAAATGCCGACCTAGAAATGGGAGATGATTAATATGGACTTCATTGTTAGATTACCTCGCTCATATCATAAGTTTGACTCCATCTAGGTGATAGTTGATCGACTTACAAAATTTGCCCATTTTTTGCCAGTTAAGACAACTTACACGGCTGAAGATTATGCGAAGTTGTATATCAAGGAGATTGTTAGGCTTCATGGTGTGCCGGTATCTATTATATCAGACCGAGGAGCTCAATTTACGGCTAACTTTTGGAGGTATTTTCAGAAGGGTTTAGGCACACAAGTAAATCTCAGTACTGCATTCCATCTGCAGACTGACGGATAGGCTGAACGAACCATTCAGACGCTTGAAGATATGCTACGAGCATGTGTTCTAGATTTCAAGGGGAATTGGGATGACCATCTGGCACTTATAGAATTTGCCTACAATAATAGCTACCATTCTAGTATTAAAATGGTCCCGTATGAGACACTGTACGGGAGGAGATGTAGATCACCAGTTGGATGGTTCGAAGTCGGTGAGACAGAATTATATGGGCCAGATTTGATTCACCAAGCCATTGAGAAGGTGAAAGTGATACAAGAGCGACTGAGGACGGCACAAAGCAGGCAAAAGTCTTATTCCAATGTCCGGCATCGTGATCTGGAATTTGAGGTTGGTGATTGGGTTTTCCTGAATATCTCGTCGATGAAGGGTGCTATGCATTTTGGGAAGAAGGGTAAGTTGGGTCCGCGGTATATTGGGCCGTACAAAATTCTTCGACGAATTGGACATGTTGCTTATGAGTTAGAATTGCCATCCGAATTGGAATTTTTCCACCCGGTATTCCATGTATCTATGTTGAGGAAATGTATTGGAGACCCTTCTCGGGTCATCCCTATCAAAGATGTACAAGTTACAGAGGATCTATCATATGATGAAGTGCCAGTGGCTATATTAGATCGACAAGTCCGCAAACTGAGAACAAAGGATGTACCTTCCGTCAAAGTATTGTGGAGGAATAAGAATATAAAAGAAATGACATGGGAAGCAGAACAGGAGATGAAGTCTAAATACCCTTACCTATTCCAAAGTGAAGATAATGAGGATGCCGGGGGGAAAGCAGGACGCATTATAAGGTGAAACGGCTCTATGAGGTAAGCAATAGCTTGTGAATACTCTTTTTAATACAAAATGGTGATATGCAGATAATGTACATATCCATAATGCTTTGTATAGTCTTGTAAGGCCATATGTTGGGTTAAACTGCTTACAAGTTTGGCTAGTGTCCATTTTATAGGGGATACTCAGCCGGAAATTTCCGTCAGAATCCACGATGAGTTAGACTCCCCATAAACCCTTACATTCGAGGACGAATGTTCCTAAGGGGGGAGGGTGTTACAACCCAAATTCGCGTACCTTAGATCACGCCATAAGTTAGTCGACGTAAATTCAAGAAGATATTATCTTTGAGATGATAAGAAGTTAATCCTATTGGTCTTAAACGATACAAGGGTGTATAAGAGTGGTTAACAAGTATTAGAAGTTAAACGAATCAAGGATGTTGTAACCCGTATTTTTGGGTAAAACTAGATGTGCTTAATTGTCCCAAGAGGTCATGTTTTAATGTATTTGAATCATATAATATCCATATAATAAGTCTTGAAGTCAAGCGAGTTATGAAACAAAAGTCGACAAAAGTTGTCGCAACTTACGTTTATAATTTTACTTAAACTTTAGGTCAAATGTTACTATGTTTTTATCCCAATGTACATGGAATTACGGGATTATCTATCCACCAAATTGAATATCTATGAGTCTAGTTTCCAACACATTAAACCGTTCGTCGATACGATCTCGAAATAGAGAGATATTCACGTTTTCGCGAGACTGTGCCAAACAGCTCTCTATGGGGTCCACATAGGCGGTTTAAGACATATGGATATATATAAGATGCCTCAACCCCATTTTAAGTCATTATTTTTCAGTATATTCAGACCTTAGAACCCTAAAAACACTCTCTCAAGGTTCTCTCATGATCCAAGACCCAAACAAAGGGCAAACAACACAAATCAAGTGTCAGGAATCCCGTGGCGCTAGTATGTTTATTGTTCTTCTTGTTGTTGCTGATTTTTGTGTTGTTCCAGATCATGTGGGAGGTTGTTTTAAGTGTTTTATGTTCTTTAAATACTCCCTCAAATTTTTAATATCAACCCTAGGTGATTTCAAGTCTTCTAAAGTAATTCTAGTACCGAAAAACTCAAATTGATTGCTAGTTTCGCTTCCTTGTTCTTGTGGCAGAATTGGAGGGATATTTCGTGGAAAATTAAGGTCAAATTGGAGTTGTTATTTTCATTTAAAAGTAAGGAACCTCTTACTCTACATGTATTTAAGATTATCCAAGTTGCGGCTAAGTCGTTGAAGCTAGAACTTGTGAAATATATATCGAAAGGCTTGGTAGTAATGTTGTTGGTTGGTGGACTATTTTGGGAGGCTCAATATGATTATTGTTGATGTTGTTTGGGCTGCTTGGTGATTGTCTTTACTTGTGGAAAGTAATATAAATAGGAGAGGTGCTGTCCGTTTCATCGTAAAATAGGTTGTGGTCGATACATAATAGTTACGACGCTTAAACGATAATGATAGTGTCATTTCTCTTATTGTAGACTAAGGAGTCGTGACATTTGCATAGCTTGAGGTTGGGCAGTATATACAAGGTATGTGAGGCTATCCCCTTCATTCTTTTGCACGACTCCGATTGTACATAATGTAATGAACGAGCTCCCAAAGATACTCTACTCTTAGAAGCTAGCAGTACTTACATTGCTGCCCTTCTTATGAAACGATTGATATTGATGTTACTTCTCTTATTCTTATATTATCAATGTTGTTGGTACTTCCTGATTCTTATAAGATTCTTGATGAAGAGTTAACCCTAATAACGTGTACGGAGGATACCGACCTTACGTCTCTCCGAAAGGTTCAAAATGTGATTTCAATGAGTCCAACACACATTATATATATGTATCTATTTTACTCTACCGAGTCGCGCTATAGTCAGTCGGGTACGACACCTATTGTGCAACCACTGATCAGTTGGGTTTTACCGAGCTCCACGTGGCTGGGTACGATTCTACCGAGCCCTATGATGGACGGGTACGTTTTACCGAACCTATTACGGTCGGGTACGATATGATGATGGTGATGCACACAAAGGCGTATATTTTAAAAGTTTATGTATTTATATATATGTATGTATCATGTATTTCATGTCAGTAGCCCTCAGAGGTACCTAGATGTCACAGGTTATATATTCTCTATCCCTGTTTACATTACTGTTCTTACTTATGCTTTCCTGTCTTACATACTTAGTACTTTATTCGTACTGATGTCCTTTTTATTTGTGGACGCTGCATGTCGTGCTGCAGGTCCTGATAGACGGGTAGACGCAACTCCCCCACCACAGTAGGCTATCCAATTCAGCCGTTATTGGCGAGATCCCTTCTCCGGACTTGCCGTGGTCTTGGTATGTATTTTTGTTATAGACATTATGGGTATGTCGGGGCTCTGTTCCGGCAATGTTGCAACACTTATGTTCCATTAGAGGCTCATAGACAGGTGTCGACTCATGTATGTTTTGGAATGCCTTGTCGGCTGATTTTTGTTGTATAGTCTTTCATGATCGCATGGTAGCTCGTACCTTTTATATAGTTTCTTAACAGTCTTGTCGTCCCATGTTATGTATGTTCATGCCATTATCTTTCATTATTGGATGTTCATGATTCATGTCTACCATTTATATTGATCTTGTCGGCTCTTAAAGATAATAAGGAAGGCTAGATAAAATGTACGTTGGTGCTCGACAAGTATGGCCCGGGTGCTAGTCATGACCTTTAGTTGGGTCGTGACATTTTTAGCCCATAACCTTTGAATAAATCCTTTAATCACCTCAAATGGGGATGGGCTCCTAACACATAACACACAATAGTATGTTTCCAAAAATCAATTTCACTGCTAAAGTCCTCATAGTCAATGTCAACAATAGGGGACTCACCATGTAGATTAGGTGCAATGTATTCCAATTTAAATCTAGCGTTTGTAATTTTAGAAATGTCAAAGTTATCCCATATCGAACTTTTCTTCGTTGCGATCTCCTCTTCAACTTGATCTGCCCAGGATTTTTTTTTTCGCTACTTGATGTTGTTTGATCTCCTTTGCTAGGCGTCGTAGATGTTATCTCTGTCCACTGTTTTATTGCCTCCTGCTGTTGTACTTTCTCCATTACTTTATCTCTGCCTTGAACTTCAATTTGTACTGGTTCTGCATCCAATTGGTTAGGAGGATATGATTTCTCCGCTGATTTTGTCCCAATTTGATTAGGTTTACTTGCCGCATTTATCCCCAACTTGCTGCTGCTCAAACTAGGTTCAAGTAGTTGAGACCTAATTTGTTCAGATTGCACTTCGATTGCTGGTTCGCCTTTGTTTCTTTGACTTCGCATAGTTGCTGTATGTGAGGCCTGAGCTTCCTTCGCCATTAATGCCTTCTCAGTGGGTATGTGTGCTCTCTTGCCTATGGCCGGCGTAGTTTAAGCTAACGTGCACCTAGAGAGAATCAGACTCAAAATAGGCATTTTTTATGTATGAGTTTTTTTTATAAATATTAGAAAGGTTGTATTTTATGTAAATTCTCACAAATTTATGAGATAAAAAGAGGTCTCACACAATGACACTAGTTGTGTGAGTCACATGTACATAATTACTGTACATAGTTCTGAGAATTAACAGAACAATTTAGAAGTGGGACTTGGGCCATCATTTGGCCCATGAAAGATTTTCCAGTTGCATATCGGGTATAAGCCCAATAGAGCAACCGAGATAAAAATGAGGAATGGTTGAAAACTGTTACTATAAACCCTCCTAAAGCCCCTAGCTTCCCTCTGCATATTCCTCCATTTGCAATGGCTCGTCGCTTAGTGAGACCTTTAGGAGGAATAGCCAAAAGCCTTTTGCTTCAGCAGCAACCCTACCCAGTCATCTTTAATTTGAGTAGAAATTACATATCGGAGATGCGGAGGGAAGCATTTGAAGGGAACATTCTGAGACTTCTTCGCTACGAGATTCGCTACGAACTTGAGCGTTCTCCTCCCTCTCAGGTACCCGCTTTCTCATTCCTTGTTAATATGAGAAAATAATTGTATTAAAAGGGGATTCGGAACAAGATCATTATTTCGGGGCGGGCAAGTGTTAAATATTTTTTTATTCAAATTAATATTTTAACTCTACTAAACTGCTGAATTTGTATACTTAATCCCGTGAATAACTGGATTGACCATTGGGAAATTGTCACTGCTGCTGCTACTCCTATTATACCTCAGTCCTGAGCTATACATACATTAGGCTCGGGCAGAAAAGCTAGTAAATATATATATATATAAAAAAAGAGCTCATCTGCTGATTCACCTTTATCGTTAAAGTGGTGGTTGCCAAGTTAGCTAATGTATGATGGTAGCGTGTTAATTTCTTTTGTTATTCTCAGGTAGTCCCATTTGCCAAAATTTGAGCAGGGAAATGGACTTTTGCCAATGTATTAGGGTTTGCTGATTTGAATAGGCATAGGTGTTTTACCCTCTTAACAATGAAAAAAGGATGAACCTTTTGAAATCTCTATACCCCACTCCTTTGTTCTTCGTTTTCCTTTGGAGTGGTCAAGAAGATGTCGAGTGTTCCTCGTTTTGGCTGAAGCTTGATGATCTTTACCATTTTCTAATGTTATGACTGGTGGATGAGAAGGCCTAATAGGTTTTCAGTTTTTCTTAAGTAGGTTTGGGCCTGGACTTGTGCAGCTTGTTGGAAAAAAACTAGGAGTTGGGTGAATTTAAGAAAAGAGTAAACTCTATTGACGAACTTTACCTATCAAAGATGATATCTGACCAGTCCCACAATATAGTAGAAAGTTTCTTCTGGCTCTCTTTCCTCTTGTCCCTTTTAAAAGAAGTGGCCTGGTCCACACCATATATAGGATAAGCCAATTTTCTGACGAGAAAGTTCATTTTGTTTTGAAACTTTTATAAGGACAAGAAGATCTTAGATTTTGCTTGTTAGCTAAAAGTGAAAGATGAACTCTTGAATTTTTAGCTTGGCAGTGGATATGGTTGATATTAAGCAATGTGATCATATGATCTGAAGTATTCATGACATTTACATATGGGATCACTAAAAAGATGAGACATACATGTGTATCAATCAACACAGTTGCCCGTCAAAATATGTATAACATAATTCTGCATTGCACTTCATAAAATAAATTTTGTGCATAACAAGGTCAGGTCTGAATGTTATCTCTTGTAGCTACCAACCCAATTCTAATGCGATCTACATATGTTACTGAATTTACTTTGCGGTAGTTAAACTCTGAATAATAAAATAGGAGTTTCTAATGCTATAGAGTTGTTTATTCTTGGCTGATACATGTCATATGGACTAGCTTTAACCATGGACGGAGCTAAATTTAGTTAAGAGGATTCAATTGAATCCCTTTCTTCAGGGAATTATACTGTGCAAATAGAGTAAAAACAAAATTCTTGTATATATTAATTGTTGAATCTCCATAACATAAAGGAAACTTCTAGTATAGTGGCAAAGGGGGTTCAAAAATTGTGCAAGGTTGCATGTTCAAATTCCTGGTGTGACATTGAAATTTATGTCTCCGCCACTGGTTTTAACAAGTAGCTATCTAATATCTTCTTCTTATCTATGCTCTGATGTACGGATGCAACACATGGTGTACTTATTCATGTTGCAGAAGGCCACTTATATATAATACTGTCTCCGTTCCTATTTATGTGGCGGTGCCGGTGTTTGACTCGGCACAGAGTTTAAGAAATGAAAACTTTTGATACTTGTGGTCTAAAACAAGTCATAGATATTTGTGTGGCTATAAGTCATCTCATTTACGGTAAAGTAGGAAGTTTAAAGTTGAATTGTTTCTAAATAAGGAAGGGTGACATTCTTCTTGGGACATACTAAAAGGAAAGTATGACACATAAATGGGGATAGAGAGAGTATTATTTATTATTTTGACTAGTTGTTTGCTTATTTGTTCATATATTGAATAGTGTGATTCAGTAATTTCTCTAATGCTAATATCTTGCAATTACCGAACTGCAGCCTATTGGAGAATTTGATTCATTTATCATTGATGAAAGACCTGGAGAGCAATGGATTAAATTAAACAAGAAATTTGAAGAAAATGAAGAAATTAAAGTTGAAGTAACCATGTTTGATGCATCTGTTCCTGTTAATAAAGGTAATGATGCATCTGTTGCAGATGATGTGCAACTTCACATAACCATGATTGTTAATGTTTTCAAAGGAGAAGGCAATGATGTGCTGGAGTTTGTTTGCTCTGCATGGCCAAACAGCATTGAGATTCGTAAAGTTTACATGCGTGGGCAAAATGGCGTAGTGGATCAGCCTTATGTAGGCCCTCCTTTTAAGTATGTGTATGAGATTTAATTTCGTATTCTCCATTAGGCTTGCTAGAAATTCTTATTTGAGTTTTCTGTTGAGTTTGATTATGTGGTTGGTAAGAACTTCAGGAGTCGGAAACGTGTGAAACTGAACATTCCAAAATTTCTTCTACTCTTTTACTGCCATGGTTTTGAATCATTCTTGCATTTTTTAAAATATGAATTAAATTTGAAAATTTGTGAGGAGTCCTCATTTAGTTTTGATAGGTTTTGCTTTGGTGATCTTACTCCCAGTTCTTCATCTATATTTCCTTTTCGTTTTTCTTTTCCTGTGCAACTGATGGACTCCCATCGCTAGCAATTGCAGTTTCCCTGGCAGTTTGATTGGTCTTTCTTTTTTAACTTGTGATTTGCAGGGAATTGGATGATGAACTGCAGGATTCTCTTTATGATTTCCTAGAGACAAGGGGAATAAATGATGAATTTTGTGTATTCTTGCATCGATACATGAAGAACAAAGATAAACTTGAATTTATTCGCTGGATGGAAAAAGCCAAATCGTTCATGGAGAGGAAATAGAGACACTGGTTGCAATTCTCCTGCCAATGTTGCATTGCTGAGTTGCTTTTAATTGTGGAGCATGTTCTGGATATCATAGCTTGAGAGATATTATACTTGCAAGTTTAGAATGAGAAAGAAACACTTTTTTAGCTCAATTTGAAGTCAGACCATGCTGATTTATTTGTCTATCAGGGTCGCCTACTACATCAACGATGAATCAGCATTTACCAAGTACCAACAAGAAAGGCAATAATATTACTAATTAATTGACGTATTGTGTAAAGTTTGAAAATTATGACCGCATTCTTCAATTTACAAGGTTCTACATGATCGGCAAAGGGGGAAGGTCGGGGCTTTTCCATGAAGTCAATGCGTTTGGAGTTATAGGTTTCTCCTCTTACTCGACCTTGCTGCCACACCACTTGTTAAGTTGTAAGACTGCTATATGTTGACCTTTTAGTAAAAAATATTGCTGATGCATAGAGTATCCAGTATGTTATAATTTTTAGTAGCAAATGGGTATACTATGCAAGTGTGGCCTACTTCAATAGCAATTTTGCCAGTTCAATTTTGAGAAAGGTTCCTCTTTCGACTTCAGGAGTTTTCATTGTAACCATATCCTCTTATGGCCATTGTTTTTTCCTGTTTCAGAAAACAACTATCCAGTTTCTGTATTGCTGGTAAAGGTAAATTATATTTGGCTAGACCATCTTATTTTCTGTTGTGCCTTTCTTTTTCTAGTCATTTTTTAGTATTCTTGATTTCATGATGTAGACTGTTTCGCATTTTATGCTGCAGTTACTGCACATCTTCAATCAAATCTTTTTTGATGCAGTATACATGCTTCCTTCCAGCTGTCCTCCAACTTTACTCTCCGTTTGTAACTTAGTATAACCAAGATACCTTTAACTTTTAATGGTGGTAGATGTCAGCATTAGCTGAAGATGCATTGGATATATTATCAAAATTGATTGCTGATATTTATCTAGTCAAATTTTCTTTCTTTTTTTTTTAGTTGGGAAGGTTAGGTTTGTTACATTACACTTGTCTGCATTTAACATCTGATGCTGGTTTAAGTGGACTCTTGCACTCCTGTTTGTATGCGTGCTTGTGAGATGATGTAGTTGGTATTTGCTATTTCTCAGCCTAACACAACTCTCTTTGTTTGGAGTTCTTATGGAAAAACTAATTACTGTTGTGTGCTATTTCTATATCTGGAGTCTTATCCATTTTGTAAGCTAATTAATGTTATCCTAGAGAATTTATGAAAGGTACAGCTTTATGTAGAAGATGTCTTATTTTGCTTAAAGGTTAGTTTTTCATTATAATTCATATTTAGCTGCATCCACTCACTATGATTGAGTCCAAGTATGATGAAGATGTATAAGGTAAAATATGATATGACATATGTGGCTGACCAAAAGGAGGATACGTGGAATCCGAGATGGGATGACTGAGGACCGAGCGCAACCACTCAGCTTGTCACCGGAAATGATAACGTTTATGAAGGTGTATTAAATGCTCTGCGCCCGACGGCATTTACTAAGGAATATCCTGCAGCATTAAGAACGACGACCCGTTACAGAGAGTTTGACATTTATATTCACCGTTAAATCTTTACCAATGACCCTCATAATTGACATTAAAGGAGGGCACGATCCAAGGACCTCTTTCCCTAGGCATAATTATAAATACTGAGCTCAATTACCATTGTACAGGACACGAAAATTTCTGACAAGAACATATACTATATTCTATATATAGCTTTATACAATTTCACTCTCTTGTTTTTTGATCCTATCATTGCTGTGTTCGGAAAATCGTGTTTACGGAATCACTATCTTTGCTATTTCATCTACATTCCAAGGCTAAGTACTGTGTATTTCTTCGATTATTATATTATTTTAGGATCAAATTAGTTCGTTTGTCTAGAAATCACGTATAAATTTAACTGTATTGTTTTACGGTAAACAGTTTGGCGCCCACCGTGGGGCCTTGACATCCGTGCAATTAAATTGATCCTTGCCTTTTTTACTAACGTGTTTTGATTATTTTGTCTTAGAAATAATCACAAAAAATGGCAGATAACACTATTAACGATGCACGCAACCCTGAAATTTGAGGGGATCAGCCTCATTTCGAGGATTCGATCAGTGATACTCGCAATGAGGGGAAGGACGCCACATCGGTGTATGACAATCAATACTCTCAACAAGTTCGAGAGACAACTCTCGATGATGCTGACGAGGAGCAAGTAGCGGATGCTGTGAGGATTCTGCAAGAGCAACATGCAATCATCCTAGGCCATCTCACGCGGCAGGATCAGGTTATGACGGAACTGAAGTAGGCGCTATCAGGTGCTTCAAATAATGCAAACAAGCGCGATTCAATTCCTCCCGTTATTCCCGAAGACCAAACAACGCAGAGAGTCAACAACAACACTTCCAGGGGTGAAGTTGGCTCCGATGGGGCTGGGGGAGCAGATCAGGTCTTAACAACGAGAACGATTCATTCAAAGATGAGCTATTACGGTTCATGAGGGAAGTAAACGCCCGCATGGATCAAATTCCGGGCGCACCACCAGTATTGAAAGGCCCGAACTCGAAGAAGTATGTTCAATTACCGTACAAGCTAAGTGCGGCACCAGAACTAATCCCGAAGCGTTTCAAAATGCATGAAGTTCCAAAGTATGGTGGAACTTCAGACCCGCAGGAACATATTACTACCTATATAACGGCGGTGAAAGGAAATGATCTAGCCCCTCACGAAATTGAATCTGTGTTGCTAAAGAAATTCGGCGAAATTACTACCTATTCATTACTGCCCGAGCATTCCATAGATTCTTTTGAAATGCTCGCAGATTCTTTCATTAAAGCTTATGCCGGGGCCAGAAAGGTACAAGCCCGGAAGGCCGACATATTCAGAATCACACGAGGAGAATCAGAATTGTTACGAGAGTTTGTTACCCGATTCCAGAAATAAAGAATGTTGCTCCCGGCCGTCCCGGATGAATGGGCAGCTGAAGCATTCACCAATGGATTGAATCCGAGAAGTTCAGATGCTTCTAGGAAGCTGAAGGAGAGCCTGCTTGAGTTTTAAGCAACAACCTGGGCAGATGTTGATAGCTGGTACGAGTCGAAGATAAGGATCAAAAATGACTAGGTCGGTTCTACATCATCGGCCAAAGGACAGGATAAGAACAAAGAAAAATCAAAGGATGACTACTACGCAGATAGGCAGACTACGAAGCGTCGATTTTTACCCTACGAGCGTACTGAAGGCCGTGGCAGAAATTTTCGAGCAGCAAACAAGTTCACAGTTGAGGAAGGGATTGATCGTGATCGAAACAAGATCACTTAAAGATAAACAAACGTCGGGGTCTCGAGATTTTTCTTACCCCAGGTTATCAGAATACAACTTCAACATCAGCATAGTGGAACTGGTGTCAGCCATGAGGAACATTAAAGAAGCATGGTTCCCAAGACCTATGAGGTCCGATTCTAGCCAGAGGGATCCCAATTTATGGTGCGAATACCACGAGACGAACGTTCACCGGACAGGGGACTGCCGACATCTTCGGGAGGAGGTGGCAATGCTATTGAAGAATGGTCATCTCCGAGAATTATTGAATGATCGAGCTAAGAACAATTATGGTCGCAACAGTGACAACGCATAATCTTTGAAAGTAGGAGAAGAAACCCCATGCCAGACGATCAACATGATCTTTGGGGGGAACGAGATTAACGGGGTCACCTTTTCGGCGGCAAAAAAGACTAAAGTATCGATAACTCACAACAAAAGACTCCGGGAGGACGATATCACTTTCACGGAGGAAGACGCAGACGGATTGCTGTTACCACACAACGATGCACTAGTAATCTCTTTAAATGTGTTAGATTTTAAAATTAAGCGTGTTTTAGTGGATCTAGGAAGTTTAGCTAATATCATACAATGGAGAGTATTGGAACAAGCTAAACTCACCGGAAGCATTATTCCGGCAACAAAACTCCTCGCTGGATTCAACCTTGCGAGTGTGACGACCCGGGGAAAGATCTTGCTGCTCACGAACGCTGAATGAGTAATGAAACAACTCTCTTCGAAATAGTGGATGGTGATATGGGATACAACATCATCTTAGGAAGGTCGTGGCTACACGAGATGAAAGTTGTACCTTTGACGTATCACCAATTGCTGAAGTTTCCAACGCCCGAAGTAATCAAGCACATAAGAGGTGACCAACCATCAACAAGGGAGATGAATGCAATCTCAGTTTTCAGTAGCAAAGGGAAGGAGCGCACGATATAGCAATTACAGGAACCGACGCCTACTCCTCAGTCAGAAGAGGTTACTCCAGGGGCAGAGTCGTCAGAACAATATCAGGTGCCGAGATATTTCCAAGTTCTGGAAGAGACGGACGCAACAAAATCCACGATAGAGGAACTAGAGCAAGTGGCATTGTTCGAAGAATTCTTAGAAAGAAAATTTCACTTGGGGACAGGACTGCATCCCGAGCTCAGGTACTGGTTTAATTGAATTCCTTAAAATTAACATGATTGTTTTGCATGGTCGCACGAGGATACGACAGATATCCCAACAGAAATAGCCGTGCACAAGCTGAGTTTGGATCCCAACGTACCACCGGTACGACAGAAGAAGCGCCATATTGCCGAGGCCAGGAATAAATTCGTCAAAGAAGAGGTAACCCGCTTGCTTACAATCGGTTCGGTTAGAGAGGTAAGATATTCAGACTGGCTAGCCAATGTAGTAATAGTTCCTAAGGAGAACAATAAATTTCGTATGTGTGTAGACTATAAAGATCTTAATAAGGCGTACCCGAAAGATTCGTTTCCACTGCGAAATATCGATCAAATGATTGATACCACGGTCGGGCACGAGTTAATGAGTTTCCTTGATGTTTACTCAGGGTATAACCAAATTAAGATGAACCCGAAAGATTGGGAAAAGACTTCGTTTATAACAAATTTCGGTACATATTATTCCAATGTAAGGTTTTCGGGTTGAAAAACGCCGGAGCCACTTATCAACGGTGGTATATAGTTACAATGTAATGCCCTTGAAGAATTGAAAATAAAGAGAATCACATCTTCGCCTTATCATCCGAGCGCAAACGGTCAAGCGGAATCGACAAACAAAGTGATCATTCAAAACCTCAAGAAAAGGTTGGAAGCAGCAAAAGGCAAATGGCCTGAAGAGTTGCCTGGAGTTCTATGGGCCTACCGAACAACGGCCAAATCAAGTACAGGAGAAACTCCCTTTTCCCTCGTGTACGGTGCTGAAGGCCTGATTCCGGTTGAAGTGGGCGAACCCACTTTGAGATATTCTCAGACAAATGAAGAATCAAACAACGAAGCAATGCTAATCTACTTGGAACTGCTCGAGGGACACAGAGACTTGGCGCATGTGAGGATGACAGCTCAAAAGCAGAGGATGGAGCGATATTACAATCAAAGAGCCAACTTCCGTTTTTTCAAAGTAGGAGACTTGGTTCTAAGGAAGGTAACACAAAGTACACGGGAGCTCAACGCGGGAAAGCTAGGTCCAACATGGGAAGGTCCCTACCGGATTTCAGTTGTCACTGGAAAAGGTTCATACGAATTGAAATACCAGAATGGGGACAAATTTCCCAGTAACTTGAACTTGGCGCACCTCAAAAGATATTATTGCTGATAAACGACGCTCAAACAGAAAGTATGTGTTGCACTCTTTTTCCCTTCGTTCAGTTTTTGTCCCAATTGAATTTTTCTGACAAGGTTTTTAACGAGGTAGCGACAAAAAGCATACTACGAAGACATCAGCAATAATACCTTTGATAGCAAGACACACGAACAAGCTTCCACTCGGGGACGATTAGGTAATCTTTGGTTTGATAGCAAATTCCCATCGGGAAGTCAAGTTTGCTACCGAACATAGGTTACCCTACCATTCACGAGTACAAACCACCAGAGGACTGTTAGGTATTCTTTCGCTCAATAGCATGGATT